TAATCAGTTCAATTTAGAGTGAGCTCGGAGTTTGATCCATGTATAAAATTTTGGTTTGCGTTTCACATTTCGTTGCAGATCCTGACAGATCCTCATTGTGTCCCACACTCACCATTCGGAGAGAGACGAAATGTCATGTATTGACATTGTTGTAAATTACCCAATCAGGAACAAGGCTTTCTCCCATCCTTTATTAGCATTTCTGACGCCGTCAGGCCATAAAAAGCGAGCTCCGAGCCCTCTTTCCCTTTTTCTGTGTATGAAAGTGACCATCACTATGGCTGATGAGAAGAAAGCGCAGTCAACTTCCAAGGAGGGCGCGAAGAAAATCATCAAGAGGGCGCCGGGGTAAGGCAGCAAGAAAAGGAAACGATCCAGGAAAAAAAGTTACTCCATCTACATCTACAAAGTGATGAAGCAGGTTCACCGCGACACCGGCATCTCCTCCAAGGCCATGAGCATCATGAACTCATTCGACAACGATATTTTCGAGCGTATCGCGGGGGAGGCTTCCCGCCTGGCCCATTACAACAAGCGCAGCACCATCAGTTCCCGGGAGATCCAGACCGCCGTGCGGTTGCTGCTGCCGGGGGAGTTGGCCAAGCACGCCGTGTCGCAGGGTACAAAGGCGGTGACCAAGTATACCAGCTCCAAGTGAGACACCACATTGTACTGAGAAAAACACACATCCAAAACCCAAACGGCTCTTTTAAGGGCCACCCACAATTCACTGAAGCAGCTGAACCATTTTAAGTTTGTAATTGATTTTGGGTCTGTATAATTGATGTCCCTAAGCTTTGTGTTTCTTTTTATAAACGTTCTAAAGATAAACGTGTGGTCCCTGACTCTCTGTCCTTTATTCTCGGTTGCGGACATACCCAGTCTCTTTACTTTGCCTGGATATTTATCACCAAAGTCATTTTTCAGCAACTTCTATATGTTCCAGTTACTCTTTAATCCTTGATCAGGGCAGCAGCTACAGTGCCCCGTGGGGTATGATACTTGAGATTCACCCTCGGGGGAACCAAACTAACTGTTCGAGTCTCATGAATAGATTTTGCAGTTTACTCCTTTTTTTTTCAATTTTCAAAACTCCATGGAGACTTGGTCTGATTTTTGCAGAATACTGTAAATGAGGCTTTCAGCTGTCGGTGAGAGGCTTTCAAAATGAACGGAGATGAAGCCAGATGAGCTGTCGGATTGCGATACCAAGTGTGAAACTGTGGCTGAAGTCTGATCAAGGACAAGAAGGGAGGGCAACTTCAAACTGTTGTTTAAAGATTTAACGCGCTCACCCGGAACAACGTTGTTTGTGGTTTTATAAGTATATCAGGGTGCACTTGTAATGTGAAAGTGAATTAAATTCAAAGAAAAATTAAATTATTCATTCCTCTTTGCAAAACTTTTCCCTATTTCGTACATGTTGGAGGTTTTTCAAACTTGTCCCGGTGAGGTATGAAGCCTGAATATCTCCCGTGGCAACGGAAAAAAAAATGACCGTGCGATTTCTGTGTTGTTAAAATTTCCAAATCTCTAGGTGCATTTGTCCGATTTTTTTTTCAGAATGCAGAATGTGGGACTTTCTGCTGTCGCGCGGAGACTTTCAAAATGAACCGAGATAGTCGGGAAAGTCTGATCCAGCACAATAAGTGAGGGCCACTTTACCAAATTGTCTGAAGACGGTGTTGCTTCGGGAGTGAGAACGAGAGATTGTGTGAAGTGCGCATTTGTAATGTGAAAGGAAATTAAATCCTAAGCACTTATGCACTATTCTTTGTAAAACGTCTTCCTCGTATTGTCCATATTGGCGGGCTTTTCAAATCGGAAAGAAAACGTACTGGCATCGCAAATGTGGAAATATATTGTTGATCTCGAGCAATAGGGACGGTGATTGTGAAATATTGTTTAAAGCAGTACTGCGCTCACCCAGAAAGAAATAGTGGTGTGATACTTTCATTGATATATCCGGGTGCTGATGTGAATTAAAATCAATTTTCAGCGGGTTCTTTCTTTTGCTTCCGCTTCTTAAGGTTCAGGGAAATAAAAACAGCAAGATCAGAAATAGACAGATTCCCCTAGGCCAGGGAACGAGACAGAGATTGTGTGAAGTATGCAGGTGTATTCTAAAAGTAAATTATCTGTATTATGAACGCATTCGTTGTAAAACTGTTTTATACATTTTGGCGGGCTTTTCAAATCAGAAAGAAAGCGGTTGATGATTTGGCGCCGGTATTTTCCGGCCTCCGCCCCGGGCCCTCTCCGGATTGGTGAGTGAAGCAGATATCTGATTGGGAATTGAAACGACATTAGGTCGTGCTCAACAATATGACCAATCAGCAATGGCCGCACCCCCATTCCTCCCGAAGGTATAAGAGGGCGGAATGTGGGCATATTGCATTATTCTCTGTGAAAGTGCTTGTGAGATTGAGATTATGGCAATGTCTGGCAGAGGAAAGCTTGCTCCAAGGCGAAGTCCCGTGCTGGCTTGCAGTTCCCGGTGGGCAGTGTTCACAGGCTCCTGAGAAAGGGTAACTATGCTGAGCGTGTGGGTGCCGGAGCGCCGGTCAATCTGACTGCGGTGCTCGATTATCTGACGGCTGAAATCCTCGAGCTGGCCGGTAACGCGGCCCGGGACAACAAGAAGACCCGCATCATCCCCAGGCACTTCCAGCTGGCTGTGCGCAACGACGAGGAGCTCAACAAGCTGCTGGGAGGGGTGACCATCGCTCAGGGTGGGGTGCTGCCTAATATCCAGGCCGTGCTGCTACCCAAGAAAACCGCCGCTGGAGGCGCCACTAAAAAGTGAAGAGACTGTTATTTCATCTGACGACCCAAAGGCTCTTTTAAGAGCCACCCACAGTATCTGTGAAAGAAACTAGACCCTCACCACTGCCGAGTTAATTTTAATTTCCGGTAACACAATATTCACCCTGCCATCAGTTAGTGTTACTGAACTATAACCGCCTGGACGGAATGTATCCATGCGGCAGTTTCCTGTCATTGCATTGGAAAGATCCGACACTCGTGGAGGAACATCAATAAATTTAGAAATCGGGAAATAGTGACCCCAGTAGCCACAAAGCGATTCAGTGTCTCTTAACATGATGTTTTCGACCAGATATAACTATCTGCAGTACTGTACCCCCTCCGCATGTGCTTTCTTTCATCATCTCGGGTCTCCGCTCCCAATATGAGGTTTTGTGTGGCTCTGAAGAGAGAATGGCGGTTGTATGTTTAGAACTGAAGGAGTTATTGAACGTGTGCTGTATTTTGTGTCCAATGTTTGATTTAAAGATTTGAGATTGTTTCATTTGTTTTATTTCAACATTGGTTTTTTGATGAATAAGCTGAAACGAGTATTTAAAACAAACTAGCATCTAATCGATGGTTCTAACGATTTAAATCGAGGATTACTGATACCAATGTTCATGGACTAGAATTTAATCGAGTGGATTGGGGTGATTTATATCTAGATATGCGTGTGAACTGCAGGCTTCAATATCCTTTCGCAATTTAGTGTTGTACTGTTTGCAATGCTCGCTCGGTGGCACTGTATCATATCGCATACAATCACGAGTAAATAGTGAATATGAGACATACACCTGCACCCAGCGGTGAGATGGCAGTGAATTAATCCGCCCATGAGCTTTATTTGATTGCAATTCTCTTTTTTTTTTATTTTATATTTTAGAAAATCGAGATTTGAAAGTCATAACAGGTTAGTATGGAATTGGAGAAACTGTTTATTTGTGGAATGAACTCAAATAAGTGGCTGATGGAGTTTACATCAGGTAAATGTGAGGTGCTACTTTTGGAAAGCCAAATCAGGCCAGAACTTGCACACCTTGGTGGGGAATGTTGCTGAACAAAGAGACGTTGTAATGCAGATTAATAGTTCCTTGGAAGTAGAGTTGCAGATAGATGGGATAGTGAAGAAGGTGTTTGGTATGCCTGTCTGTATTGATCAGTGCATTGAGTATGGGAGTTGGGAGGTCATGTTGTATGTTTACAGGACATCTGTTCAGCCACTTTAGCAATACTGTGTGTAATTCTGGTCTCCCTGCCATAGGAAGGATGTTGTGAAACTTGAAAGGGTTCAGAAAAGATTTACAAGGATGTTGCCAGGGTTGGAGGGTTTGAGCTGTTGGGAGAAGTTGAATAGGCTGGGGCTATTTTTTTTCCTGGAACCTCAGCAGCTGAGGAGTGATCTCCTGTAGAGGCTTAGAAAATCATGAGGGAGATGGATAGGGTGAGTAGCAAGGTATTTTCCCCAGGGTGGCAACATCCAAAACTAGAGGGGGTATAGTTTTAAGGTGTGAGGAGGAAGATAATGCGTGACCGATGGGTGACTTTTTCAGAGCGTCGTGCATGCGTGGAATGAGCTGCCAGAGGAGGTTGTGGAGGCTGGTACAATTACAATGGTTAAAAAGCATCTGGA